TTTGTATTTTTAGTAGAGACAGATTTTCTCCATGTTGGTCAGTCTGGTCTCGAACTCCTGACTCCAGGTGATCTGCCCCGCTTAGCCTCCCAGAGTGCTGGGATTACAGGCATGAGCCCCATGCCAGGCCTCGGTAATGAGAATCTTTAACTTGAAGGAGTAGAGTTAATGAGTGGGTGGAATGCAAAGGCAGTTGTCTTTAAACATTTGAAGGATTATCTTATGAAAGTGATTTCTACAACTCTACATTGGTATGTAGAGCTATAGTAATGCACATTTGGGCTTAACATAAAGCTACGTTTTTAAATAATTAGAACTGCCCTAAGATGGAATGGGTCAACATGGTAAACAGTAAGTTCCCAGGCAAGCAGAAGATAAACCATCACTTAGTGGTCTGGTTTACATCTAAGTGAACTCTTTAGCCTTTTCTCTCCCATATTTTTCTTAATTTAATTCTCTAGCCTATTTTAAGAACATTTTACTAGTAAAAATAGTTTCATTATAGTACTGTTAGTCAGAGGTGATAACAATGAAGGACAGTGAAAATGAAAGACAGTGAAATATCTAAATAACATTTAATAAAGGCATTTTGTGCTTATATCACTTCCTGATTTCAAAACATATTACAAAGCTACAGTAATCAAAAGAGTACAGTACACTAGTACTGGCATAAAGAAGACATATAGGACAATGGAACAAAAAAGAAAAGCTTCATGGCATTGAATTTGGCAATGATTTCTTGGATATGACACCAAAAATACAGGCAATAAAAGTAAGAAGAGACAAATGAGACTACGTGAAACAAAAAACTGCATAGCAAAGGAAACAATCAACAAAATAAAAAGGTGACTACAGAACAGGAGAAAAGATTTGCAAATCATGTATTTGTGAAGAGGGTAATATTCATAACATACAAGGAACTCCTAAAACTCAACTTCAACAAAAAACTTCACTTATAAATGGGCCAAGGATTTGAATAGACATTTCTCCAAAGAAGATATACAAATGGACAACAAGCATATATATAAAAAAATGCTCAACATCGCTAATCATTAGGGAAATAAAAATCAAAACCACAATGAAATATCACCTCACACACATTAGGATGGGTGCTGTAAAAGAAAAAGTAAGGGGCCGGCGTGGTGGCTCATGCCTGTAATCCCAATACTTTGGGAGGCCAAGGCAGGTGGATCACCTGAGGTTGGGAGTTCAAGACCAGCCCTACCAACATGGAGAAACCCCATCTTTACTAAAAACACAAAATTAGGCGGGCATGGTGGCGCGAGCCTGTAATCCGAGCTATCTGGGAGGCTGATGCAGGAGAATCACTTAAACTGGGAGGTGGAGGTTGCGGTGAGCCAAGATTGCACCATTGCACTCCAGCCTGGGCAAGAAGAGCGAAACTCCGTCTCAAAAAGGAGAAAGAGAAAGAGAGAGAGGGAGGGAGGAAGGAAGGAAGGAAAGAAGGAAGGGAGGGAGGGAGGAAGGGAGGGAAAGGAAGAAAAAGAAGGAAAGGAAAGAAGGAAAGAAAGAGAAAAAGGGAAGAAAAGGAAGGGAAAAGAAGACAACAGGAAGGAAGAAAGAAAGAAAATAAATAATGAATATTGTCAAGGATTTGGAGAAATTGGAATCCTTCTGTACTGTTGGTGGGAATATAAAAATGACTTGGTTGCTATGGAAAACAGCATGGCAATCCTAAAAAAAATTAAAAATAGGATTACCATATGATCCAGCAATCCCAGTTCTAGATATAAATACAAAAGAATTGAAAACAGGATCTCGAAGAGATACAGTAATCTGTCACTTAATGATGGGGACACATTATTAGGCAATTTTGTCATGTGAATATGATAGAGTGTACTTACACAAATCTAGATAGTATAGCCTATTACACACCTAGGCTAAATGGTATGGTCTATTGCTCCCAGCTACAAATCTATACAGCATGTTACCTTACTGAATACTGTAGGCAATTGTAGCACAATAGTAAGTATTTGTGTATTAAACATATCTAAATATAGAAAAGGTACAGTAAAAACACAGTATTATAAACTTGCAGGACCACCATTGTTTACATGGTAGGTCACTGACTGAAACTTAATTATGCAGAGCATGACTATATTTGTACACTCAAGTTCATTATTATCATTCACGATAGCCAAAAGGTAGAAGCAACCCAAATCCATCAATAGGTGAATGTATAAACAAAATATGTTTATATATACATAATAAAATATTATTCAGCCTTAAAAAGGAAGGAAATTATGACACATGCTATAACATGGATGAATCCTGAAGACATTATGCTAAGTAAAATGTCAGTCACAAAAAGAAAAATATATACTGTTTCAGTTTTGCAAGATGAAAAAGTTCTGAAGATTTTCTGTGCGACAATGTAAACACACTTAACACTACTGAACTGTATACTTAGAAATGGTTAAGGTGGTAAATCTGATGTTATATGTATTGTATCATTATTTTTTAAAATTAAAAGACAAAGAAACGGTAGATTTCAATGCAAATATTATCAAGGTTAAAAAATGTCATTTCATGATGACAAATGAATCAATTAATCAAATGGAAACAATTCTAAACATTTTTTCCTAATAGAGCTTCAAAATATATGAAGCAAATTGACAGAACTCCAAGGAGAAAATAAACAAATCCACAATTATAGTTGGAGATTTCAGCATCCTCTCTCAATAATTGATAGAACAAGTAGACATAAAATCAATAAGGACATGAGAACTGGGAAAACACTGTCAACCAACTTCACCTAATTGATGTTTATACATTTATAGAACACTCTACCCAATGAAGGAATGTACTTTGTTTTCAAGTACGCTTGAGGATTTACTAAGATAGATCATATTCTGTCCATGAGACAGAGTCTCACTCTGGTGCCCCCACTGGAGTGTAGTGACATGATCTCGGCTCACTGAGATCTACCTCTGCCTCCCAGGTTCAAGGTCTCTCTTGCCTCAGCCTCCCGAGTAGCTGGGACCACAGGCATGTGCCACCATGCCTGACTAATTTTTTTATTTTTCATAGAGACTGGGTTTCGCCACGTTGGCCAGGCTGATCTTGAATTCCTGACCTCAAGTGATCCCCCTGCCTTGGCTTTGGCCTTCCAAAGTGTTGGGATTATAGGCATGAGCCACTGTGACCAGCCCTCAATATATAAATTTTCAATAATTCAAATAATAGAAAATATGTCTTCTGACTAGAGTGAAATTTTAACTATTAATAGAAAGCAATAGCAAACTGGTGATACCTAAGGCTCCAAAGACTCTGTGCTGGATGATTTCATTTTTATGACATTTTGGAACTACAGGGACCAAAATCAGACCCATAGTGGTTGCCAGGAGTTCATCTTGAGTGAAGAGGTTGAAGACAAAGAAATTGGTAGAAAACTTTTATATCTTCATAGTGGCGGTAAACATTTGTCAAAACTCACAGAACTATACACTAAAAAGTATGAATTTTCCAAATATAGAAAAGCTATCTGCAAATTACACCTTAATTTTTAAAAGGAAAGAAAACATCAAAACATACATACATGCAAATAATTAGATGATATAGTGAATGAGAAAATCTCATATATAATATTGAGGAAAAAAGAAAAATTGAACAAGAAATATTTTATGTTAAGATAACTATAAACCCTCTTTAAAGACACAAAAGTAGACAATGAAAAGGCATCCTTTGTTTTGTTTTCTATGTGCTTCAAAACATTCATTCATAATTGAGATTTCTGTGGTTGTGTTCAGAGGATCAGTACACAGATATTTTGATTTGTACACAATTCTTAACATACATACAAAAAAATCTAAAAAGTCATGTAATTCTTTTTAAAAAGTTATTCTAGTGAATTTCCAGCTTAAAATTTGGAGACAAATTTTCCTTAAGAGGATATGAAGTACCAGTATCTACAATTGTTGATAAGCTGTTACATATATCCCACCAATTCACAATTTAATAGCATATACACTACATGTTCAAATTTTCAATCTTTCACAGCACATCGAGTTAGACCATGTCAACACCACCTAAAGATATCAGCTCACTGTAATTTAATTTATTAATTTAATGCAATCCCAGCAAAAATTCCAAAGAGCTTTTCATTTTTCTTCTTTTTTAAAACACTGATCATACATCAGAAAAGTTCATAAGGAAAAATAACAAGTCTAGCTAGGAAAATGGTGACAAGGAAGCACTCTCTAGGACTAGTCCTGACATGAAAACATACAGCAAAGCCTCTCTAAAGTAGAGGAATAAACAGGTCAGTGGACGAAAATGGAAGGTCCAGAAATACCCAAACTACATATGAAAGTCTAGCACATGATAAAGCCGGTATCTCAAGCTACTGGGGCAGTAATAACCTTTATAATAAATAGTGTTGGGGCAGCTTGACATGCATTTGAAAAAAAAACAGATCTACTCAAACCACACACAAGAACACACTCCAAATGTATTATAGATCTAAATGTAAAAAATAAATCAGTTCAAGTACTAGAAGTGAGCATAAATAAATTCTTCTGTAACTTGGGTGTAGGGGAGAGTATGACTAAAAGTCACCTAGTAAAATACGACAAAGTCTACACATCATAAAATAAAAGACTGGTAAGTTTTGCTACACAAAAATTAAAATATTTGCATGGCAAAAAAAAAAAAAGCCACTCTAAGCAAACTGAAAAAATAAAAATAAATTGGGAGGAAATACTCCTAACACATCCCACAAATAAAGGATTCGCATCCTTTCAAACTTTATAAAGAACTTTTACATTTTAAGGGGGGAAAAAAGACCAGAAATGCTAAGGAAAAAAATGTAGCAAGCTCCCCTCTCTTCCGGGACCAGGAAGTCAGGGGTGGTCCGCGCCCCCTGGAAGAGAGGGTTCTGCGTGGCGTGGGGTCTCTGAGCCCGCTCGGTCTGCCGGGTCTCGCGGGCCCCGGGCTCAGCACTGCTGCCCCCTCCCTCGTCCGTCCCCCGTGCCCCTCACCATCCTCCCGGAGGAAGAGCGCCGGGAGGCCTGACGCGCCCCCGGGTTCCCAGCTGACCGCTCGCTCCCCGCCTCCTGATCTCGTCGTGCTCTGGAAGTACAGGTGCAACTCCCTGCGCAAGCCTTTCGGGGGTCGGAGCCCAGGGACTCAGAGCAGCCGGGGGAAAGAGCCGGGCCCAGGCCTCCTCAGCTCGCCCGGACTGCTGGGGCGTCCCATCTAACAGGCTTGTGCCTCGAGCTTCTTTCGCTTTCTTTTCTCTGAAAACCGCTTCTGCCAAAGACTGAGGCCTCAAGCTTGCAAACTGTCTCGGGATCGTGTTGCCCTTTGGGACAGACGTTGCTGCCAGACAAATCCTGGGTCAAAAATCCTGGGCGCTGCAATTTTATTAGTTGTGTAACCTCAGTCAATAGGATCTGTACAGTGGGCACAGCCATAACTATTTCACGGTATTATCATGAAGATTAAATGAGATAAAAGTCTGCAGAATGCCTGGCACATTAAAACACAAAAATCAGTATTCGTTTCCTTTTCTGCTGGGCATCCCATTCCTTTCTCCTCCACTCTCGCTACACACCCATCTTTAGAAAAATACACTGGGTTCTTTCCTGTGCTCCCTAAGCTAGGGCCAGAGTCAGGTTCCCCTTTTGCCCAATGCGGCATTATTTAATTTAATTCAACCAACGTGTATTGAAGGCCTTTGATATGCCTGGCATGTGTTAAGATTATAAAGATGAATTAGACATGGATCCCTTCTGTTTGGAATAAGGGGGGAAGTAAGGAGTTGGAGAAATAAAACATAGATTAATACAGTTGCCTGGTGTATCATGAAAATCCTGGCAGTATATGGATGATATACTCAAAATGAATAATTGAAGATAATTTAATAAAGAAATTACTTACACAGGTGCAGGCAAAGGGTTAAGGAAACCAGTGAAAAAAGGTGACACAGCCTTCTCCCCTTACCATCTAGGCCAAAGGGGCAAGGGAGGGGGCATCTGAACTTGGTAAGAGCTATACCCATAGGTAGGTGCCAGCAGGTAGAACCCATGACTGCTTACAGGAGATAGCTGAGGGAATATAAACATCCCAAGCTCTCTCTCCCCCTGCCTTCGGATCTCTGCTGGTACCTCCCACTGCAGAACCCAAAGAGCAATCAGAGAACAGAGCTGATGCAGTACTTAGTGGTCAGCCACCAGTACCACCTTCAAGGCAGAGAGTAGGGTAATCAGTTTTGGTATCATATCTGCATTGAGATACATATAAAATATTAGGATAACAGAAATCAGTGGTTCATTGTAATTTAAAGACACGATTGGAGAAGTTTCTATAGTAGTGGCATTTCAATAAGATCTTGGATGATGAGTAGGGGACTTTCTAAGAGGAAAATGAGGTGAAGAATCAGAATAAGGCATGTCTCTCTCTCTCTCCCTCTCTCTTCAGAGTTCCCTTTTTCATCATCTATCATGCAGAGAGTGGGGGCAGGGGGGTGGATTACAAAGATCACAAGAAATGAAAGTATAGACGATGCTTTGGAAAATCTTGTAGACTGTGTGACTGAACCCTAGGGACTTGGTGGTGAGGAAGGAATGGAAGGTATGCAAAGGGGCATGAGAAATCTCTATAATGTTCATGCTGCTTAGTTTAAACTCTATTTTCTAGGTCAATGGATCTCTAAATGTAATTCCCAGACCAGCAGCATCAGGCTCATTGTGAAGCAGTAACCAGGGTGATAACCCCTAGCACTGCGTTGCATTACATCTTACTTTGCCTGGCTTCTCTGTTTGTCCTTGGGCTTGGACTTCCAAAATTATTAGTATCTTAATCTTTGCCTCAAGCTGTATGTTTTAGATCTGATCAATAAAAATGACCCAATCAATAAAAAAGGAAATAGTACCTAACTTCCATATGGAAATCAAACCAAACACAGTACTAAAAAAAAATTTTTTTTTTTTTTTTTGAGATGGAGTCTTACTCTGTCGCCCAGGCTGGAGTGTGGTGGCATGATCCCAGATCACTGCAACCTCTACCTCCCAGGTGCAAGAGATTCTGATGCCTCAGCCTCCCAAGTAGCTGGGATTACAGATGTGCATCACCATGCCTGGCTGATTTTTGTTAATACTAAACTATTAAGCATAAGGAAGTCCAATAAAGATCTTAATTTTCTCCTAATGACTACTTTGATGCTATTTTCAGGGAAGCATCAAATATGTCAGTATTATTATTTTATTTTTTCTTTGGAGAGGAGTGTGCCCCTGATCTAATAGTGATCAATAAGCTGTCTGGGTAATTCAGCACCAATGTTGGAGAGGTGAAACAGAACCTCTAGAAGCAAGGAGGGGCACGTATAGTTTGATAGGGTATTACATATGCTTTCTCTAGAAGAGAAGAGAAGAAATCTGCAGCCTACTTTTATCTTTATAACCTTTGTGTTATAAGGAAAAAATATTGAGAAATGTTATTTTCACAGCCAAAAGTAACTGCAGTGAAGTCAAGAGTAGTTAAGTTGTGCTGTGGTAATATTTAGGAAGCAGCTACACACAAAATCAACCAAAGACCTTCATGCACATGTTATACAACTGTATCCCGTACGTATTGTGGGAAACACCCAGAATCTCAACCTAAGGGGCAAAAAAAAAGAAGTGAGGGAAAGAACACAATTTGTTCCAAATCTTTAACTTTATTTAAAGCAGATACAAATGATAACACCTTCCAAAGAGTGAAAGCAGTAATCCAAATGCTCTCCAATCACCCATACCATGAAGCTTGCCCATCATACACAGTGCAGTCTCCCATCCAGAACTTAGCAGAAACCAAGCTTTTGCTTCTTTGGAACAAATTTAGCTAAAAGATGAATAGCTAGAAAATAACCATAATGGTAAAGAATTTAATGAATCACCAAAAACTAAATTTATTACCTAATTTTTTAAAAAGACATGTATCATTTAGCTTAAGCTTCATCAACTCTCTGGACAAAGAAAAAGATTGAGAGTTTTTAGGTTCTTCAAATAGGATTTCCTCTGAGGAGATTCGCTTTGAGTACTGTGTGGGAATCCCTTTCTCAGAGAAGTCCAGAGCAAAGGGATCGCCTCAGCCTGCTCCATGGAGAAGTACCCTCATGGGATACAGTACAGCTCTGGGGGCCAGAGCTATGGGGGGAGACTACCTGGTTCATATCCCAGCATTTCCACTTATTAACTGTGTGACTTTGGCAAGTTGCTTATCCTCTCTGTGCACCAGTTTTCTCAGTTATAAAATAAGAATTTGAATGGTATCAATCACATGGATGTAAAGCTCTTGTAAAGGGGACAAAATAAGTACTCACTAAATATTAGCTATTTAAGACAGGGTAAATTTATCTGACAAAAAATTTGTAGATGTGTATATGTATCTTTGGGAAAAGAAGAAGACATCTTGTTTACCATTTTTGGAGAGAGGCTGGGCCATGGATAATCACATAATTTGCTTTTATTACTTTAATCTGACTTGAAGAATCATTTAAAAATAAAATTTGACATGTCATATATTCATTACAGTAGGCTTATTTCACCTTTTTTCTGTCCAGAGAGAGTATCAGCGAGAAAGATTTTAAGGGTGAAAACATGAACTGGTGGGACTTAGTAAAAGGATAAAAAACTACCACAATGTGGGCTACAGTTATTATAAAAATTATAGAGACGGAAACTATAGCAAGTTTATTTTGTCTGTTAAACTTGGAAGTAAGCTGGGCATGGTTGTTCATGTCTGTAATCCCACACTTTGGGAGCTCAAGGCAGGAGGATCCCTTGAGCCCAGGAGTTTGAGACCAGCCTGGGCAACACAGGGAGACCCCATCTCTAGGAAAAAAAAAAGAGAAAATGCCAGGCATGGTGGTGCATGCCTGTGGTCCCAGCTACTTGAGAGGCTTAGATGGGAGCATCACTTGGCCCCATGAGGTTGAGGCTGCAGTGAGCCGGGATTGTGCCACTGCACTCCAGCCTGGGGGACACAGTGAGACCCTGTCTCAGAACAACAACAAAATAAACAAACAAAAAACACTTAGAAGTGGAGTATACTCAAAAGTACAAAAATATCTAGACAAAAAAAATCTTCAGAAATTTGTAGCATTACTGTGGCAGGGCAAGTGCACCCAATATAGCAGTTTACAAGGAAAAGAAAGCAAAGGCTCAAGTGAAGGGCCTGGTTGGAGTCCAAGCTCAAGCCAGGCACGGTGGCACGTGCCTATAATCCCAGCTATTCTAGAGGCCGAGATGGGAGGATGACGAGCCCAGGAGTTCAAGTCCGGTCTTGATGTTTTCCCTTAAGAGACAGGGCAATATAAGTAAGGCCTTGTCTCTTAAGGAAAAAAGCAATGAAAGAAAGTTCAGTTTTCCAGATTAGTAGTGGACTCTAGAAACGATTTCCTTACTCCTGCCTCTGCCAGAGATTTAGGAGGCAAATATTCCTCTGCTGGTTTACTAGCAACCTGAGTCAGGCAACACAACTTTATGAAGCACTGCTATAGTTTGGTTTGTTTGACCTCTTCCAACTCCCATGTTGAAATTTTTTTTTTTTCCCTGACCGCTGTATATCCAAAGAGTCACCTCATACCATGTTGAAATTTGATCCTCAGTGTTGGAGGTTAAGCCTAATGGTAGGGGTCGTGGGGGCAGATCCCCCATGAATGGTTTGGTGCTATTCTCAGGGGTGTGACTGAGTTCTCACTCTTAGTTCCTGAAGAACTGGTTGTTTAAAAAAAGTCTGGCACCTCCCCTGCACCTCTCTCTCACTTCCTCTCTGCCATGTGATTTCTGCACACACTGGCTGCGCTTTGCCTTTGCTATGAATGGAAGCAGCCTGAGGCTTTCACCAGATGCCCAACTTTCTAGCCAGCAGAATTGAGAGCCAAATAAATCCTTTTCCTTTATAAATTACCCACTCTTGGGTGTTCTTTTATAGCAACACAAACAGACTAAGACAGGCACCAACTATATACTAGGCTCACGCCTGTAATCCCAGCACTTTGGGAGGCCGAGGTGGGCGGATCACGAGGTCAAGAGCTCAAGACCATTCTCGCCATGATGAAACCCCGTCTCTACTAAAAATACAAAAATTAGCCGGGTGTGGTGGCACGCGCCTGTAGTCCCAGCTACTCGGGAGGCTGAGGCGGAAGAATCGCTGGAACCCAGGAGGCGGAGGTTGCAGTGAGCCGAGATTGCGCTGCACTCCAGCCTGGCGACAGAGCAAGACTCCGTCTCAAAAAAAAAAAAAGATAGTCTTGTGTGGGTCTGGTGGCTTATGCCTGTAATCCCAGCACTTTGGAAGGCTGAGGCAGGAGGATTATTTGAGTTCAGGAGTTTGAAATCAGCCTGATCAACATGGCAAATCCTGTCTCTACTAAAAATACAAAAAATTAGTCGGGTGTGGTGGCATACATCTGTAATTCCAGCTACTGGAGAGGCTGAGGCGGGAGAATTGCTTGAACCCAGGAAGCAGAGGTTGCAGTGAGCCAAGATCACAGCACTGCACTCTAGCCTGGGCGACAGAGCGAGGCTCCATCTCAAAAAAATAATAATAATTATAATAGCCTTCCTTATTCCATTTATTACCAGTGCTTTCCCAATCTCTGCTCATGGCCACTTTTCTTGCCATGAGGAAAAAAGGGGAATATGGGTCTTTGATTTTCTACAACCAAACATTTCCCCCCGCCACCATTTATAATAGAATTTCACTTTCACAGGTATGAAGGGGAAAACAAACAAAAAAACTAAAGGAGCACCCCAGAGATGGCAATGAAAAAGGGATCAGTTGGCAGCTGATACTCCAACTGAAGGACATAGAAGATGATTTCAGACCCACCTCTAACCCCAGTGATGACACGAGAGGCATGACACCTGTGCAGCAGATTTTACACAGATTTGGGGGGCCTTTTGTCTTCCATAAAAAGTATCACTCCCAAAATGACAAACTAGCAGATTCTTATTCTTATACAAACCATTTCTTGGAATGAAAAATTTCAAAGTTTTTTCTGAGTAAGGATTTAGATTGGCATTAAATCAGCCTCCTAAAATATTTTTTTTTTTTTTTGAAAGGCTGATTTAAGACATCTTCCACCAGTTTTCTTACTCAATTCCTTTGGCTTTTAGCTCATCTTGGACACGTTTCAGGTAAGAAGGATCAGGATAGCCGTAACTGGAGAAAGAAAAATTCCTTTAGCATTACCACAAATGGTTCTGATATGTGCAATAGATATTCAGCATTTAAGGATTTAATATAAAGTGTCGCAAACATGCACAAGTAATCCTGAAGGTGGATGACGTATCATGACTTTTACGTTTGTAAATGTCAGTCATTTAGCTAGCAAGTGAGCCTAGCTGTCTGGCCAACATCTGCCTTTCAACCTGGCTTCTACCCTGACAACTACAAAGCGTTAATGTGATGTAGCTACTACATTTCGCATCAAAGGGCAAAGGGGTTTAGAATCCAAGATGAATGGTAAATACGTTGATTTAATTTGAGGCTTCATGTCTGTGTTAATTCTTAAAATTTTTCAGTTTATGGCAAGTAGTGACTCTCATAAAGATACAATAATATACTGTGTTTCATGGGGCATTGTAATCACATGCTAGTAGGATTTTCAAATTTAAGGTTTTGAAAAAGTCTCAGGGTACATATTTTCTTTAGTACCAAGGATTTGAGGAATACTATTTGGGTTTCATAAAGAACAATTGGATTTCCTGTAACACGGTTTCTACTAATAGTCTCCTCAAAACTTAGACTTTTTCCTAGAATATTATTACCAAGTGATTTCCGGTTCTCTGTGGACTGGTGGAGGAACAGGGGAAAAAGAAAGGTGACCTTAAAAGAAAGCAAAGTAACATTCCTAGGATCTAGTCTTCAAATAGACATGAAGCCTCAAATTAAATCAGCATATATACTATTCATCTTGGATTTAAAAACCTCCTGCCCTTTGGAGCAAAATTTAAATA